TCTGGGTATAATCCCAGCAGTGGGATAGCTGGGTCATATGGTAGATCTATCTGCAATTGTTTGAAGAACCTCCATACCATTTTCCATAGAGGCTGCACCATTTTGCAGTCGGTGGGCATCTTATTTAGAGAGCCCTTCAGCACCTAGTGTGCCAGGCACATTTGTGCCATCTGTGGCCTTGCTCGAGAAGTCTTCTATCTTCTTTTTGTGTGTTGTGCCCTTCTTATCTTATACTTGTGTGTTTCCACTTTTCTTGTCGTGTGGTGTGACTGTACTGAGGTGTGTTAGGCGGCCGAGGATTTGAATCACAGCATTCAGCTTAGCTCAGGTTCTCGGCTGCCTCTCTGGAAAACTGGAACTGACCACCCAGTCCATCCCTCTGCCAACAGAAACCTGGTTTCTTGAAGCCCGTTCCAGTTTTTAGGATTAGTTTTGTGATTCATATTTCTTCACAAAATTTTCTTACTTTCGATTTTAGAAGTCATAAGGTTCATTATAAAAAAAAAATTTAGAGAGTATAACTATCCAAAGAAGAAAATAAAAATTGCGTAAAGCTCACCAAAGACATTTATTGTCATCTATTCATTTCACAATAGTTATTAAATGTTGTTATATGCAAGTCACTATGTTTGATGTTGGGGATTCAGCAAGAAATAAGAACACACATCACCATCTTTACCCACATGGAGCTTAACTCCTAGTGTGAGAGACAGTCACATACTGGGGTAAAATACATACTAATTACAGTTGTAGAAAGTGTCAGCTTCCCACAAGGAAGAAATACAAGGAAGAAGGACTGCTCCCTGCAACCCTGCCCTAGCCACTGCTCGAGTTGACTTCCTGCCCAGGCCTGCCTTCCATGGGGATGCACCTGCATCCAGGCAGGCATCTCCTCCCTGCTGTCACCTGCTCTCTCTGATTGGCCAGTGGAAGCTCCTTCTCCCATGCTCCCCCAGTTTCCAATCACAGAGGTCTGTGACACCCTATATTGCTTATAATGGTCACTCCTGTTTGTTTGTTTTTTTTTAAAAGATGACCGGTAAGGGGATTTTAACCCTTGACTTGGTGTTGTCAGCACCATGCTCAGCCAGTGAGCTAACCAGCCTTCCCTATATAGGATCCGAACCCGGGGCCTTGGTGTTCTCAGCACCACACTCTCCCGAGTGAGCCACAGGCCAGCCCTGTCACTCCTGTTCTTATGACTATCCAGCTAGTTATATACCCGTGGCTTTCTCAGAGTGGGCTGGGTAGGCCTGCATCCCTGGGGCTCTTGTCCATGGGGCTGCAGGGGGAAAGTCCTCCAGGTTTTGCAGGTGCAGTAGGGAGTGAGTCCATTTGCCTACAGGAAAAACAAAAACTACAAAAGGAGATTAAGTTTGGTCGTTTTATTGAGGTCCTTCAGTTATGGGGTAGTTAGGCTTTTGGTGACCAGCCTGGGAACCTAACAGCATGTCTTTTGAGTTCTTGGGAACTGACTTTCAAGGAAAGTACCTCTACAGCCCAGAAAGAATCTCTACTGAGGTTCATATTACAGTTCTCAGGATACATTTAGTATAGATTTATCCAATAAGCATTTACTGAGCATCTACTACATTCCAGACACTGTGCTGGGTTTCCAAGGTTACATGAGTGAGTGAGAAACATGGCATGCCTTCAGGGAATTCTAGAAACAGGCCATTTGCAGGCCAAAGGAATGCATGTTAGGACAGAAGTGGTCATGGGCTCCTGTGGAGTACTTAATCCAACCTGGGGAGGAGCCAGGAAGTTACCATGGAGTAGGTGTCACTAATGGAGATTCTTGCTTTTTATTCTACTTTCCCTTTTAAATTCCTGTTACTTAAAAATATTCATTATAAAGGGGCTAGAATAAAAAGGGTTTTGTTAAACTCTGAAATGAGTAAGTCCTCAACTTATGGTCTACATGGTAATGCTAAACTATGTGTACTCCACATAGGCTGTTAAAACTCCTTGACTTCTACTCCAGCAGTAGTCTGAAGCTCCCTCATGGGAGAGGCCATGAGGCAGTTGACCCCACCTCTGGGCACCTTCATGGCTGCTCCCGCCCTCCTCTGTGGCTGGCTCCTTCACCCCTGTCTGAGCAGGACTGTGATGGAAATGGATTGAGCTGCTGTCTTCTTGCAATGAAATGCTCTGGGCAGCAGGGGCCTCTCTCTCTCTCCCTTGGAGGAACTGGAGCTTTTTGTGTCTGCTAGAAAACTGGGGGGGTCCCTGAAACTGTAGAACCCCCTGTTCACTCAGCAAACATGGATTGGGTACCTACTGTACTTGAGCAGTGTGCTTGGTAATAGGGATACAGTGTAGAAGGCCTTTGTAAACAAGTAAACAGAATACAGTCACAGCTGGGGGGCGTTCTCTGAGCACCTCAGGAGTTCCTGGTCCCACAGGGCCAGGTGAAGGCCCTTCAGCCATGGTCCTTCCTTGTTTGGTACTGTATGAGTCCTTCATCCATGCAGCTAGAGTGGGACCATCTCATGGCTTCTCTGAGTTTGAGCACTAAACATCCCCAGGACTGCCTGGTTCATCATGTCTACTTGCTGGTGGCTCACTCTTCTGGTCTCCAGAATCTTTTTTTTTTTTTGGTGCTCATAGTGGCTGTGAGACCACCTGTGAGCCTTGAGGTTGTTTCTTACTTCTGGGCGGATACCTGAGGGTCTCTCTTTTCTTCATTTAAGTTTTTAGTAAAATTCCAGATTATTATGTTTAATTTCAAACATCTAAAAGTGGAAAGAATAACATAATGAGCCCCATGTACCCATTACCCAGCTTCAACAATTATGGATCTGGTGGCCAGTTGGGTTTTGTCTCTACCCCTTCCTGCCCTTCACCTTCAGCCACTGGTTTATTTTGAAGCAAATCTCAGAAGATTATGTGAGGTGGTTGTATTAGTCTGTTTCTGTTGCTTATAACAGAAGACCTAAAACTGGATAATTTATAAAGAAAAAAAAAATGTATTCCTTACAGTTTGGAGGCTGGGAAGTCCAAGGTCCAGGGAACACAC